ATGTAACCCAAAAATGATGGATTATTCTAAGAGAATAATGTATCGTTTCATCAGACCCAGAATTGGTTTGAGGAGCATTCTAGAAATTTCGGACAAATGGTGGCGTTACCATCTTTGCTCGGCATGATTCCAATCGAAAATATATAGAAAGTGTTAGTGAAGTATATTCTTACGCAATATCCATCCCTTAAAAGTATCAGAGACCTAAAGAAAGCGAGCGAGAGGGATTTACCATCTAGTTGCGGAGTCGATGCCACTTAGTGTTTCTACAATTCGTCGGGCTTAGACGGGCTTTACAAGACACTACACCATGCCTGGCTTTGGACACATTTGAGTAATGGATATCGGCTTGGATTGAGGAATCGGAGAGCCAAGTTCGAATTCCAGTCGAATCCATTACATTCACTTACGTGCTAATACCTTTGGGAAAGGTATGAATCCTCTTATTCTCCCTCCAGCTATGGGTAAATAGCAGGACAGACTGGGTTCTATAACCTTAGATAGCAACTGGTCTAGGAGAAGGACAACTCTGAATGAAAAATCTGCGGAGGTTCGTTTGGGGACCTTGTGACACGAAGTTCACCAGGTCTCTGTATTCGGCCCTTCAAAAAGTGTGGATGGTCCTGCACGAAACAACCTTCACCACTATAATCAAATCTCATGTGCTCTTGTCGGGCTGTCGGTTTCCTGGGAACTGATCTGCTTGACCCTCATACATCGAATTCGACGGGAGAGTCGATATATATATATATATATATATATATATTAGTCCTACTTGAGCATCAATTTTTAATTTATACAAGTTTTGAGTTTTTCATTGTTTCTAGCTACTTTTCTGATTCTCGGTTCGCATTTGTAAGAATGAATACAAACCAATTTTGTTGCATTTAATCAAACATGAATAAATGATGTCCATATATATATATATATATATATATATATATATATATATATATATATATATATATATATATATACTAGCAGTATAACCCGTCTTCAACCCGGTTTCATTACTGGGAATTTTTGCTGTTCAATTGGAGCAGTTTAAATTTAAAGGCAGCCCACCCGAAAATCAATATTAGTTACAACATTTGGGTGCAACTGAAGTATATCCTCAAATGGGGGATTAACAATTTGAATGGAGAGTGGCCCTGAAAAGGGCCATTTTTTGCGTTCTCAATCTTGTTTCAGCCTAAAGCGACGCAGCAGTTGAAGAGGCATTTCCCATCAGCCGTTGAGTCATTTGTTCGTTATTTTCAGCCTCGCGCGCAGAAGCTATTCAGGTATGGTCTTCTGGAAAGCCGATGGCTACGTTGATCTTTGGACTCTGGCTCTGATTGAAGCATTCCGAGAGGCATTTTGAGACAGGTAAGCTGAAAGTTCTAAAGACGATTCGTTATCTCTTATTCGCATGGCGGACCTGGCTGCAGCGGTTTTGCGACGTAGGCAAGTTCTTTTCTTTGGTGGCATGTCTTAGGCAAGAATGCGTGGGCAAATACCAGAAGAGAACGCTGTAAAGCTACAGGGGTCACTAAACTCGAATGACTTTAGGAAAGGTTGGAAAAATAAATGTTGAGTAATAAAAAAAAAGCAAGCTTACTTATTACTACGTTAAATGCACTGCAAAAACTGACAGGACAATAAAAAAATTTAAATTAGGAACGGCTATAAATGACAATGAAAGCAACGCCTTAAAACTCTAGTAGTAGGCTTTATGTAACGGAAAAGGTAACCTCACTTGAGAGAGATTGAATGTTTAGCGAAGAGAAGAGGACTGTGTAAGCAGTGCTGGACGTACAAGAGCAGAAACGGAATTGTGGAATCAAGCGGTAGCAATGAACTTAGGACTTCATAGACAATCAGTATGACACGGCGACATTTGATTGGACGTGTAAAGGGGCTTCGTGCAGTTAATAGTCAACTCGAACAGGTGTCGCAATCCGCAGGTCATGCGTATGCGCATGCACAGGGCGTGACACATCGCATGACACAGCACGTGCTGCAGGGCCACACGTACACGCGTCACTACACGCGCTAATTATCAAGGTCAGCAGCAACTGATGGGCAACGTGTGGAGGCTTGAATCACGCCCACACAGCATAAGCTAGGATTGGAAGGTTATGTGTGAAAAAGTAAGTTAAATTTTGCCTTTGATTTTTGCGCAAATTGTAAAAAAACAGTTTTTTAATTTTCACCTTCAAAGTTGTAATTTTTTCCACCCAATTTGGACTCAAAACCGGGACTGAAGAATTATGTATCAAACAAAAAAATTTCATCGAAATCGGAAGTAAACTGTGTAAACGCATAAACAATAACCGATCACACACACACACACACACACACACACACACTCACATTTTGAGAATTATAGATATAAATAATATTGTAGTAATAATTTAAACTATTTTTATTAAAGTTTTTATGAAAGATAAATATCTAAGAACAGATAGTAAAGAGTAAAATGTTGTCGAGAGTTATAATGGATAGGAAGTAGTGGAGAGCCATAGTTGCCAACAATTTACAGTCAAAACCGGCACTCAGGAATTATCTCTCAAACAAAAAATTTCATCGAAATCGGATGAAAACTGTGCATAAACAACATCCGATCACACACACACTTTTATATATATATATATATATTTATATATTTATATATGTATATTTATATATATATATATATATATAAATAAAATCTCAATTATTATTTATGCATATATAACAATTGCTTCAAAAGTTATTATAGCTAAAATTCATACTTGAAATAGACGCAGCTTTTGTATTGTAAACAGTGTGTATGACGGTTATCGGCTTGTGCACTCAAAAAATCTCAAGGAAATTAATGTGTTTTGCGGCTGGAATCGAAACTGCGTTTTCCTTTGTAGGAAAAAAAAGCAAGCCATGATCAGGTGTACTCTACCACCCGACTACGAAGAGCATCTCATTCAAGGAAAGCACACCAACCTCCTTAAGATATTTTTTTCCGAATCCCATATATGAAAAGTCAACAAATACGAGTTCTACTATAAAAACGTTTCGTAAATAAAAGCCATATCAAAAATAAATCCACTAATGTTTTAGAAATACAAATACATACTCTCTCTCTCTCTCTCTCTCTCTCACACACACACACACACACACACACACACATATATATATATATATATATATATATATATATATATATATATATATAAATGACAATAGGAAAACTGTAGTTATTGTTGATGCGTTTCGTCCAATGTGGACTTTCTCAAAGCGAAAAACGAAATGAATTTAATTAAAGAACGTAACTAATAATAACAAAAAAAAGAGAGAGAGTGCCGTCATAGAATATTACCCAAATATTAATCGACGCCCAGGATTATCCCTATTTCAGCTATCTTAACAAAATTACTGCTCTCCCAAACAAACGTACACAACAATATCGTAAAATCAAAAGAAAATGGTTGAATCAGCCCACACAGCTATAATAACAATATTCTCCACACGTGACAATAACTGACGTTATTTTCAGGTAACAATATGAAAATAGCGTTCTCTACATTCCTCCAGTTGCTAAAGAACATTCTGTTTTTTGTTATTATTAGTTACCTTCTTTAATTAAATTCATTTCGCTTTTTGCTTTGAGAAAGTCCACATTGGACGAAACGCGTCAGCAATAACTACAGTTTTCCTATTGTCGTTTATATTTATAAATATTGTCTTTTCTACTGGTTAACTTTGAGAAATTTTCATATATATATATATATATATATATATATATATATATATATATATATATATATATAAAGGGTGTTCCTTTAACTTGAAGCGATTTTAAATGTAAATTAAGTTTAAGCGTCAGATTTTTTTCTTTTTTTTTTTAGAATTTGGGCGATATTATGATTCACACATAATTCCCATGACTTAAATAACATGATCCAATAGAGAAATAAATAAATTTTCACCAATAACACTGATTTATTTTCTGCTAAATTTGATCCGTCTTAATGAAACACCCTTTATATGCAAAAGTTCTTAGTATAGCCACTACATTAAGAAATATATATTACTTGCTTTTACATATATATGTGTGTGTGTGTGTGTGTGTGTAGATAGATAGATAGATAGATAGATAGATAGATAGATAGATAGATAGATATTATCTCTCAGGTCAACAAATAAAGCCAATTTGACCCAATTTTATGTGTTTTGAGTCAAAGAAAAATGTGATTGTGATTTAAACTAAAGTATAAGATGCAGCAGATTTTCGGATAGGATTTTAGATGAAATAAGCTGTGACTTATAATCATTAGATTGCGATATTTAATATCTTTGTCGGTGTCGACAATTTAGAATTATGAACAGGAAATCTTTTTTTTTAATTTGAGGATGCTTTATAATATTTATAAAAAGACCATGCGATTTTACTTTATTATCTACGAATTAACATGGCTTCTTTGAGAAAATGGGATGATTTCCGGTGGGCTTTCCCGCCGCTTCGAATTCAGAAGACCTCATGAATAAGATGCAGCACAAGACTAGAGAATACAGTCTACTCTTGTGCGATGAGGAAAAAAAACGGTTTCGTACCTTTCCCAAGGTTCATGGTGAACGCACATCTATATTTATAATAGTTTTTGTTGTTTTTTTTTTACTTGACACCTCAGGGCGTAGACGAACATGACTCACCAGAGATTCCACTTTTTATTATTTATGAATTGTCATGAAATCTTGGGAAAGCGTGTGGAATAGTCTCCCATTGCCTTCTCCACAGATACCGTTTCTTTATTATTTATGAATTGCCATGAATTTTGTGGAAAGGTCGTTGAGTGGTTTCTCGTACGCTTTTTTCTATTTTTTATTTATTTCTTTGAAATAATCAACATTTATTTGGATAATGCTTAATGACCTCACACTGTATTTTTTCTTTATTTCTATATTTTTTCTGTGTCTCCTTAAGATTATTACGTGAAAAGTTTATCAGGATGTCATAAACACTTTTCTTTGCTCCGGCGCAGATGGGGGTGGTGAGTCTCAAACTGTTAAATATCGATATTAGGTGAACTACTCTTTGTTCTTTCCAGCAAACACTATTGGCCAACGACCCGAACGCGCTTTGTCCAGTCGATAAAAACTAACTGTACCCCGTAACCGGGCATCGGAATGTCGCTAATGAACCGTCTGAGGTTCGCCTATATTTTGATTTCGGCAACACTTGTTGAATCTAAGGAAGTGATCGAATCTCAAATATTGACTTTTCCCTGTGTCCTGGGAACGCAGTGTTGGTGATATTCAACGACGCATTGCCCATATATATATATATATATATATATATATATATATATATCTATCTATCTCTTTTCTCTATCTATCTATATCTATATATCTATATATTATATATATATATATATATATATATATCAGAAATATTCCTATCTCTTTCTTATCTATCTCGAAATATTCCTCTCACTCTGTTCATATCTATCTCTCTCACTCTGTTCATATCTATATCATTCTGTTCCTATCTATCTATCTATGTATCTCAGAAATATTCCTATCTCTCTTTCTCTATCTATCTCAGAAATATTCTTACCTCTCTTTCTCTATCTATCTATCTATCTATCTATCTATCTATCTATCTATCTCACTCTGTTCATATCTATATCATTCTGTTCCTATCTATCTATCTCTCTCTGTTAATATCTATCTCATTTTGTTCATATCTATTCATCTATCATCTATCTAGCTATCTCATCCTGTTCATATCTATCTATCTATCTATCTATCTATCACAGTTTGTTCCTATTTACGTCAGTCTATCTAATTCGACCACTTTTACTTCGATTCGAATTTGTTAATATGCTTTTTCATAAATTCTTTGGTATCTCTCTATCTATCTGTTTGTCTGTCTCTCTCTCTATCTATGTCTTTCTCTCTCTCTCTCTCTCTCTCTCTCTTGTTTCCCGCTGTCTTCTCCGCTGTCACTCAATCTATCCTCTCTCTCCTCATTCTCTCACTGCTCCCTTTTTCATTTCCATCTTTCTTACCTTTTCTCAAATCACCTCCTCTCATTATTTCCCATCTCTTTTCTTTCCCTCATTCCTCTCTCTCCCTCTCTCTATCTGTGTGTGTGTCTCTCTATCTATCTATCTATCTATCTATCTATTTTACCTTTTTGCTTCAAGCGTGAATCTGTAGACACATTGGTAATGAGTATATTTACAGTTAATAATCAATGTCTAAAGACCACACTTTCAGGTAGTTCTTTTTTATCAGCCATCTCACCTTAATGGAATAAAAACCTTCAGTAAACTAAAAATGTCTTCAGTAAAAAAAATAGCGTGAGATTCAACAAGATTGATGACCGCAGTTGTTGCTGATGAGAAATAAACGATAAAATCAATTAGTCTCTGTCTATCTCTCTCTCTCTCTCTCTCTCTCTCTCTCTCTCTCTCCGTCTTCGATAAAAGCACTTACCTCCTCACTCACTTTCTTCCCTTTTCTTATTTTATCTTTTTCTCGCTTTCACTTTATTTGAAACCATTGTGCCCTTTCCTATCTTCATCAATTCGTATATATCTCCCTATTTATCACAATCTGTTTATATCTATCTATATTCATTATTTATCTTTTCCTTTTTTAAAAAAGCAAGGCGGGAGTGCCACTAATACGCAAGGGGTTACAGAGGATTGAGAAGCATAGTAAAAAGAAGGACGGGGAACAAGCTCATGGTGTCAGATGTCGATTGACATTACACTTGAATATTTGACGATTATAATCATCGAGGAAGCAAGTAAGGGGAAGGGAGTTCCACAGACGAGTAGTACTGGAGAAGAAGCAGTTTGAGAAGAAGAGACGCTTACATATCTATCTATCTATCTATCTATCTATCTATCTATCTCATCTTTCTTTCTTTGTATCTATCTATCTATCTCAGTTATTATCTATCTATTTCAACCTGTTCATTTTCTATCTAAATTTTTCTAATTTTTTTTTATATCTAACTTTACAGGATCTTTTGCTCACTATCCTTGTCCTCCTTTTCTACACTTTCTCTCTCTCTTTCTCTCTCTCTCTCTCTCTCTCTCTCTCTCTCTCTCGTTCTCGGTCACTATATTTTTTAATCCCTCACACGTACATAATACAATTAATAACAGAAAGACTTTAATGTAAGATAATGAAGTATTTAATTACCAAACTCAATTAAAATACATTAACAACGAAGAAGTAAAGAATCAAGGAAAAGATTATTTATTAGATAATACACTATTGGGTAGAGCTGCTAAGAAAAGGACGTTTTGAAACATACGGCACTCGACTTTAATGTCCGCGTTAACACAATAGTTAAACACGTAATTGTAACCCCTCCCCCATTCAGTGGCGTGATATCTTTATTTATAGTAAATGGTGGTCTGCATTTTCATTGTCTAGAGGTTCACGTTCAATCTCCGGTGTCAGCAATGACACTTTTCATTCATATATGACACTATCTATCTATCTGGCTATCTATTTATCTCTCTGTCTGTCGCAGCCTGCTCATTTCCTATCTCTTAATTTTTATATTTATCTAATTTTGTTCCTATCTATCTATTTGTTTAAGACTTCTGTTTACCTTCCATTCTACGTCATTAATAACGGTCGCTACGACCACGTTGTGTATTTTAACACAAAGTTTAAAATTTCAGTGTCAGTTGTAAAAAGAAATCGCAAAAGACCGAAGCGTATGCAAAAACAATACCCTGTCCGGTGGCAAAAGCTGCTCGTGGCGCCAGAGGTGGCAGTACCGCCTTAGCCACTGAAACTGTGTTACCTCCCCTGGGTGGCGGCTGGGTATCACACGTGCTTTTAAACATTATACGTAGAGAATTATCTATCTATCCATTTATGTTTGTTCATATCAATGTTTACATGATCTTCCAATCTCCATTCTTGACCTCCTTGTGTACAGTTTCGCTCTCCATCCCTCTCCATTCCGTCTCTCTCTCTCTCTCTCTCTCTCTCTCTCTCTCTCTCTCTCTCTCTCTCTCTCTAGCTACCTATCTACCTATCTCAGTTCTCATTATTCTATCTATCTCAACCTGTTCATTTTCTATCTATCTATCTATATTTGATCATACGAGGATGGTCTGAAAAGTTCATAGGCTATGAAAGAGTGAAGCTAGAACTATTGCATGCATTAATTTTAAAGCTTCTTATTAATAACTGCTTTGTTTATTCCCAGGTAAACTCACATCTGACTGTCCAGGGAAGACTTCAAACAACTAGTAGCGACTTCTCTTGGAAATGGACAGAATTTGGCATTGTGCTGTTATCAAGTACCTGCAGAAAAAAAACTTTAGCCCTCAAGGACAATCATGATGACGTGGTTACTACATTGGGGGATGATATTCCAGTTTTATCATTATCAACAGTGTAAAAGTGGGCAGCTGAATTTATGAGAGGAAGGGAGATTCTTGAAAATAACTCAAAGTCTAAACGTACTGAAGCTGTCACAATTAATTTGGTATGACGTACGTTTATGTTCGGTGGGTGCCACGTCCCCCTGACATCCGATTAAAAGTTCACCAGGCTGATCGCATCACTGGAAAATCTAACAGATCCAGCTGGTTTCCTTTAACGTTTCCAAACACAGAATGGGTTCATCACTTTGAACCAGAGACAATACATGCACTGGAAACACCCCTCTTCACCTGCTCCAAAGAACGCCAAGGTCGTTTCATCTACAGGGAACTTGATGGCCTCCGTTTTGGGGGATGCAAAATTCACTGTGTTTATTGAATATCTTCAAAAGGGCCACATCATCAGTGGAAAGTACTATGCCAACTTGCTGAGGAAGTTACGACAGACTATCAAGACCAAATGCCAATGAAAACCAAGGAAAAGGGGTCATGTTAAATTAGGACAATGTTTCGCACACAAGTCCTTGGTTACGAGGGTGGCCGTGCGTGACTCTGTTTTTGAACAGGTTGATCACCCTCCCCTATTCTTTTGATTTGGCTCCATCTGACGATCAACTTGGCTGGGAGTCAATATCGCAGTGATGATGACATTATATCTACTGATGATGACATTTTAACCAACAGGATGAAAGTTTCTTCACCAATGGGATCTAAGCAACATCTATAGAAGAAGTATGTGCACAGCAAGGGGGACTATGATGAAAAATAAACCTCATTTGGTCATATTCTATGAGAGTATCTTGGTTAGCCTACGAACTTCTCGGCTGACCCTCGTATTTCTAATTAAAAATATTTTGATAACCATTCTTGAACTTCTTGATTATTTCTCTCTCTCTCTCCATCTCTCTCTCTCTCTCTCTCTCTCTCTATATATATATATATATATATATATATATATATATATATATCATACCTATTATAAAACCCAGGTTGTGTGTGTGTCTGTTTCGTTTATATATTGGATCGGATTTCCTACATGTTTTAACCGATTTCAACAAAACTTCACAGGACTGCGTAAAATTACCTTGCGGTGGTTCTAACAGCGCCCAAAATTGGAAAAACACAATTGTTTTTGCACGAAATCAATTTGAAAACACGATTAAGAGGCATCGCTGTCGAGAATGAAAGGGGGACAACTCATATCGAGTTATACTTATTGTTGAAACTTGACTAATGCATGGAATAATAATGCAAAATGTACTTAGAACAAAATGTATTGAAACAAGAAAGTGTACACAATATTTACATATAGTCTTTTGTATATTCCTGGGAAGACCGTTCCTGGAGAATGTGTTGACTTAGTCACAGTCGGGCAAAGTCTCTGGATTGAATCTCTTGATTCTTCCCCTTCTCTTCCCGGTACCAACCATATTTATATGGTCGGTACTCCACTATGCAAATTAGGTGGATCCTACCACAACACTTATTATAAAATCCAGGTTGTGTGTGTCTGTGTTCGTTTATATATGGGATCGGATTTCCTACATTTTTCAACCGATTTCAACAAAACTTCACTTTTTTTGGCAGGTAGTGTTTCTTATTGTCTTGCACTTCTTTATTCTTACTTTCAGAATGCTTTAAAAATTCCATTTACAAGACAAAATTGTTTCTAATAAAATTCTATTCAATCGGTAGACTCATAACGATTGAAAACAATGTTTTTGTTTGAGTTTGGGTTCGACCAATTTGTAAAAAAAAAAAAACTATTTAAGACATGCGTATCCGTCAACCTTAAACAATAATCTTTGTCAATTTTATTTTTCAGTCTTTATGATGGTCGATACTTGATCTATCTCTTACTGTTACATCCCCGGGCAACGCCGGGCTCTACTGCTAGTATATATATAATTTTGATTAAGACCCTTACCCATAGGGCTCTTTTCGGACATCAAATTGGATGATCAACTCAGATTTATTACTTCTACTCTCTGCAAAAATGCCTACGCATTGGGCATTGTTCAAGCAATTATTAAGAACAAAATTTCTGAATTTAACAAAGTCAAACCTGCTATAGTAAAAAGCTGTCCTGTGTACCTACGCCTTCCTTGGCTAGGTAGTATCAGTGATAGGTTTGCTAAGCAGGTTTCTACCACAGTTTGACATTGTTACTTTGCCGCTAACACTCGTGTTGTTTTCTCTGCCAGGTCTGTCCTTCCGTCTATGCGTAAGGATGTTCTCCCGCCACACCATAATAGTTCATTAATTTATTCTTTTAAATGTAGTTGAGCAATACATAGGGAGAACGACGCAAAGGCTGGATGTTAGAATAAAACAACATGTTACAGCGAAAATCCGAAACCTTAAGTACACTCTCTCGGACATTTTGACCAATACATACAGGTTTTCCATTGCAGAACACCTTATAAATAGCCATAATTGTGCTGTTAGTTTTTGTGGTGACGTTTTTACCATCCTTAGCAGGTCCCACCTGAAAGTGTTGGAGGCCATCTACATTCTATCATTAAAGCCTTCTCTTTGTAAACAGAAGGACTTTATATTAGGCCTCAAATAATTACCATTTAAATATTTTTCCTCCCACCAATATATATATATATATATATATATATATATATATATATATATATATATATATATATATATTATGCAGTGTTACATTAGAACATGCACATAACTACTACAAAACTGTACATCTTGTTTCAACGTAAAGAAACGAAAACTTTTTAACGTTTCATCATTGGGGAACCACGATGCTAGGAGATGAAACGTTAGAAAAGATTTTTTAACGTTGAAACAAGTTGTACAGTTTTGTAGTGGGTATGAACATCTTCTAATGTAAGAGTGCATAATAAAATAAAGATTTATTGCTCTACTTTTGTATTGAGCCCTGTTTTAAATTAATGTTTTGAACGCTGAAATCTTACTCTTCGTTCTTTTACATTTGGAGATATATATATATATATATATATATATATATATATATCAGCCTTTTCATTTTTCTAGTTATCTTAATTTTCAATTTTCATATCTATCTAATTTTGTTCATATCTATCTTTACATGATCTCTGTGAAAATTATACTGTCTGAATAAACCCAAAATCCCTTAATGTTTGATCCCTCAACATTTGAATTTATTTTGAAAATAAATTTCAATTCCGATCTACGTCTCTCCTCTCTGATGTTGAACGGAGATGCCAAAAAAACACGCCTTTAAAATTTCGACTTTGAAATTCGACTTTAGAATTTATCTCTTAGTGCTTCGTTTAATTCAGAAAGTTAATATGTAATAAATATCAATTTTATTGTCAATATTGGTCATCATTTTTTAGCTTTTTTTATCCTTCAAATATCATGAACCAGCCTAGTTAATCTACATATTATAATGAGCACACGTGGAGCAGGTTTCATTTTAATCATATATATGTGTATGTGCGTGTGTGCGCGCGCGTGCGTGTGTGTGTGTGTGTTTATGTACCTATCTTTCTTTCTATCTATCTAGCTATCTATCTCATCCTGTTCATTTTCTAACTCAATTTTATATCTAATTCTATTCATATCTATCTATCTATCTTCTATCTATCTTCATATCTATCTTCATATCTATCTTTAAATGATCTTTCGATCACCACTCTTTATTTCATTCTTGTCTATTTTCTGTATCTATCTATCAATCTATCTGTCTATTCATCTGTCGCAGTCTGTTCATTATCTATCTATCTATCTATCTATCCTCCCCTCATCCATCTCTCTCTCTCTCTCTCTCTCTCTCTCTCTCTCTCCCTCCCTTCCCCTTCTCGGCTAAAGTTTTCCTGCCTTTTAATCTATTATTTTTTCCTTTTTCTCTCTCTCCGAACCAGCTTTATTTTAACTTCTATTATTATTTCTTCTCCAAACCGATCGCTTTCCTTCTCCCGAACACTCTCTCTCTCTCTCTCTCTCTCTCTCCTTCTCCAGAGCACTCTCTCTCTCTTTCTCCCGAGCACTCTCTCTCTCTCTCTCTCTCCCTCCTTCTCCAGAGCACTCTCTCTCTCCTTCTCCCGAACACTCTCTCTCTCTCTCTCCCTCCTTCTCCAGAGCACTCTCTCTCTCCTTCTCCCGAGC